GCGTCTCGATATTGGACATAGATAGTTCAGATAAAAGAAACAAACAGAAAACCACTCAGAGAAGAAGGTAGAACTCCTGGCCGGAGCGGCGAATCATTTGGACTCACAGTGTGGCACACAGCAGAAAAAAAAAAAAAAAAAAAAAAAAAAAAAAAAAAAACAGCAGAGGGGTCTGATTTATAGAACGGGCCCGATCAGATCAGCTGGAGATCCCCTCTTGTCTAACCTGACAGAAGACATGTCATCACAAAAAATCAGACGAAGAAGACTAATCTGCAGCAATGGAGATTTCGAGGGGTGCAGACGGCCGCTGAGTCAGACGCGGGGCAGTATGTGCTCACAGGCGGTAAGGCCAGTCAAGATCCCCTTGAAAGGAATGCCCTTGCTGTCCGTATGCCCCTCAAATCCAGCACAGCAAAGAAATGCATTGGCGGCAACAGATCTGGGCCCAAAAGGTCCTGTCCCGTTGGGCCTGGTCCCACTGGGTCCCGAGTTGTCCCAAGTAGGTCGTGGACCAGGTCTAACGAGACAGGGGTACCAAGTCAGTCCCAACTATCTCTACCGTACTAAAAAGGAAAAGACAACTTTCAGCAAGAACTTGCCCCTACAGCCGTTCAGGATTGAAAAGACAATGCACCGTAGAAAGATAAGTCATTTAGCACAAATACATCATCCATCCATCCATCAGGTGAGAAAGCAATCACACACACAACCAAGACCGCAGAGAAGAGGAAGAGAACCCAGCACACCCCCAACAGGCCATAAAGCACCAAGCAACCTCCCACGGGCTTTCCCAGGTCACACGGCACATACCTGTGAGGCCAGTCCTCCAAAGATGGATTACGAGTCACTCCCCTCTCATATAAGTCCTCCTGACCCGTAGCTACCACTACACGAAGTGTCCTAGCACGTCGATGCCTGAAGACCAAAGTAGCAACTTGAAGCAATCCGATGCAGATATGGCAGCCTCCGATCAAGTCTCCCTCTTGAGGGGAAGCCCAAAAGTCACTCAATGTCTTCCTGAAGTCCAGATTCCAGGTGCGAGTACCTCTCACTCTCTACTCCCTCTCGCTTACTCCAAACAGCCTCCTTTGTGTCTCGCCACCCCATACATTCACTCAAGCAACCTGGTTGGGTCCAATGTCAACCCTACATGACCTAACCAGGTGGGGGCAGCATCCCCATACCTCGCTGCCCCACTTAACCCTAACTTCCAACCCTAATCCGAGATTAGGTTAGCCCTAACGTAATTCGGAATTAGGGTTAGGGTGACTAACACCTCTCGCCAGCAAGTAAGTCCGCTCCAATACCAATTGTTACGATCCTGGTCATTTCCCAAGCGCGAATTCACAATGAAAGACAATGCCACCCAATTGCAAAAGAAATGAAAGCACTTGCAAAGAGATAAAGACCAGAGGAGAGTTAAAGAAGAAGAAGAAGAAGAAGAAGAAGAAGAAGAAGAAGAAGTACACCAGCAAGACCAATGGCAATTCCCCCCTTCTCCCTCCACCTTCCTCCTTCCTCCTCTTCACCAATCTTATTCTTCTCTCAATAATAATAATAACAATGAATGGATGAACCAGAATCAATGTCCGAAGTTCCCCCTTACTGCTGACTCAACTCACAACAACAACAACAACAACAACAACAACAACAAGAAAGTCCACCATGGCCATGGCTTCCCTCCTTCATCCTCCTCTCTCATGCATAGGCCATGGCGGACTACCGGGAGGCAGCTATGATGCTGCGCTGATGTCCCAAGACAACCCAAACCAGCTATGCTGCTGCTTGACTTGGTCCGCTATGCCTGACGCTGCCTTGAGCTGCTCTGGTGCAGTGCTGCCCCAACTRGGGCCTTCYAGATGCAGCGCCCAACAAGGTGATGAAGACGGTGTCCACCATAGCCAGGTAAGTGCCCTACCACTCCTACCATGCCCCCTTCTTCCTCCTCCTCAAACTGGGGTGCTCGCCATAGCCAGGCTGAGCCCCAGCGGACCTTCACCTCCAAGCAGCGCTGCTTCAGTCCAGCGCTGCGCTCCAGCAGCATGTCGCCAATCCTTGCATA